GGTTGGTGAGTTCCTCAAGGTAAAGCTTTGCAATCGTTTTTCTCATCACTCTGATTCCAGACATAACACTGACGTAAATTGTTGTTCACAATTTTGGCTTGTTCGTAGCCAGCACTCACCGCAAATTCAGCTTTAAACACATATTTACGAAATGTGAATATTAAGTGTTTCTGACAGATGACTGACTGAATTTCAGCAGAGAACTTTGCACAGAAGTGCACCAGTTTAGGTTGCCACACACAATGTAGCACACAGTAGTAGGGAAAAGAGACAAAGAAGGGATTCAAAGGAATTATAATGTGTAGAAACATACATCAGAGAGACAGAATAGTAAAAATGGAAAAACAAGAGAGTTTAACGGATATGAGAGAGATCAAAAGAGGGAATGAGAACAGTTTTGAGCTATATCACCAGTCTTCAGCCATCGGTGGTGCTTAACATCCCAATTATGCATTTCAGTTTAAAATCAAAATAAGTGCTTTCATGTATTGTGAATAACGAAATGGTTTATAAGATATGATACGTTTAACTTTATTATGAAAAAGAACATATTCACAAGTTATTCAGAAAAAAAACTTACAACTTGTCGAACTGTTAACTGGCCGGCTAAACGAGTTGTTTGATACATAGCGCCAACAACTGATCCTAACAATTGTATAGCTGAATCTAATTTCTGTGAAACATCCTGGTGAAATGATAACGGTTGACCTGTAGGCTTATTCGGGATTCTTCGTTTTATTCGACACGTAACAACACGTACAGTTGTAGCAAAATGAATTAATTCACTAAGGAGGCCAATTAAACCGCTTTCAGTAGGATTACTTAACAGTAACGAACCAACATCATCCATATTACCCATACTCAATGGTCCAGATACACAAGTGGCAGCTGTTTTAGCCACTTGTGATAAACAATCAACATTCTGACCGGTCAATATCATCAAAGCAGTTGAGTCAACAGATAAGGCATCAACAGCTGATAGAATTGTTCGCGTGAAATCCAGTAATTTATTGTTACAATTAAATAGCGGTTCTGTTTTCAAATGAACTGTATATAATTGAATAAAGTAATTGTATGACGAAAATAATGGTCCCAATGAAATTGTCTCATCCAACTGATCATTCTTTGTTTGTTCAATTAATCGATCAATACAATGTTCATGTGCAATCATTTCATTATATAAAGAACCGAAGTCCAAATACAGTTCAACACTACAAACTGAAAGGACTCTATTAAGAAAGAGAGAATAAGCAAAACGATAGTGTAGTAATGTTAAATTAAAAGTGTGATACCAATAGATAATAAATCTAACAGACGATTACAAATGATGAAGGTGCACACATAGTTTGCTATCCTGCAGTTGGAAAATAAAACAGAAAAGAATCCTTTTATATTTTCGACCTTTGTGTCCCGAGGAGAACATAAGGCTTCGGGAATTAAGCTTTGAAATTTCAATACCGTTCGCATTTTTACACGATGAAAAATTGTTAGCCTCAGACTCAATCTCCCTTATTTTCCAGGCTTACTATCGACTAGTGAACTGGGCAAGGTATAGGAATGCACCGGTCAGGAGTTGAACTTGGACCCCTAAACCAATAAACGCAATGAAGTATATGTAGAACTGATAAATAAACTAATGATAATTAGAGCTTTGTGAAAGGACTGAATCAATTCAGGTTACTGTAGTTCAAAACAACCGAAAGTTAACAGAAATGTAAAGATGTGGTTTATTGACTTTTCCACTTGAGCTTTCACACGATACGGGTCACAGGTTCTCATTCCACTCCACTTAATATACAACCTGGGAAACTAGATGGCAGCTACCTTCAATACAGTACATCTTCCCTAGGCCTAGCAGTTTTCATGGACTATTTTTTTACGATACACTAAAGCATTAAACTCCTCAACAATTAGCAAGAAAGTAAATCTACCACTTCTTATTCAACTTAGCAATCAGATTAACATTCACCCAAACATCAGAATCCATCTGGCGATGAAGATATATAATCTCTAAAGAGATTATCTGCAGTGAAATATGATTCGAGATACAGCAGTATTTGATGATAGATGAGAGCTGTTGGATTATTATTCGAAGATGAAAGAAAACAGAAACTGGACAGTTGAGCAGTAGCCATTCGCCAAAACAATGACATTAAGATATTATTTAAAGCCGGAGCTGCATTTATTGGTACTAACTTGGGGAGGTTTGTAGACTTGAAGAACTAAACAATTCAACCCTGAAGAAACAACTGACCTTGATTTCAATGTATCTGACGTATCCAGTGACATAATGGATGTTTGGCTAATGGCACAGTAGTCGTAAACAGGGTCAGAAGCTTCAGAAACTGTTTTTACCACAGGTGTCATTGGGAAAATCACCAACAGCGGTTACCTAATGGCTGAAAGAAATATGAGCGACAGAGGTGAACTCTGAGGGCTTGATCCATAGAATCCCGACCGATAACTGCTACCTTGCCGTGGTGGTCGGGCTTGAATGCCGCAGTGACCCAATAAGCTAAACTGGTTGGGACTCATGTCCCTGCAGGTCCTACCATGTCAGGAAGGTTGTTTGGATAGCGGTTAGACTAAAAGCAGTTACCATGGGGTACATGGGCTCCAGAATTCAATCGGATCAAATGGCGTATGAACCCATATGGGTCACCGGCAACCATGGGAACGCAGCTCCTGACGCGGCTCCGCTACCTTGCGGATTACACTCCAAGTCAAAGGCTCGGGGGTGGTCCCTTAGGAAAACCACCTGCTTCGGTCTGGGCGCCCGGGCAGTATCTCAGTCCTCACACAATATTGTGTGGCGCATCTTTCTTGGTGCCACATTGTACCAAGTTTTTCTGCGTTTAAATAAATAATAAATAGATCCATAGAAGGGAACAGAAATCAAGTGAGGAGGCAAGGTATTATTTCTTGGTAGAGCTGGATGACTAACACTTCTGACCTGGTTGACATCGCTTCCAACCCCCATATGAGGTTCGTGATGGTGTACACTGGCCCTGAATTTTGGGACCCAGCTACACGGCGATTGGGTGTGGTCACAGACGTACCGGAGGACTGTTGACAATACTGAGGAAGACTGGCTTTTGAAAACCTCCTGCAGTTGGATACCACTGTCAATGAGCTCGACCCTAAAAGAGCGAAATGGCCGCCTGGTGTTTAGATCACTTCAATCTGGCTAACAACCACTACTGGTTGATGTTAGTTGCATACCAACCAATCAGTAGTATACAGTCATGCATTTATGCTTCTTTTCCTGATTGCCATTTATGTTAACAGGCATATCACACCACGATCTCCATAATTTCGGCTTCTCAAACTTCGTAAATCGCAAATCACGGATTCAATTTTGTATTTCTAAGATTTTTATTTATTCCTTCACGTTCTCAGTGGGAGATAGGGCTTCAAGCTAGAGCTTCGAAGTTTCAGTAGCAGTGGTATTTATTTTTATGGGATGGGGTTGCTAGCCTCATGCCCAACCTTCCCTCTTTACCAGTCTTATCACTGGCTTAGTGAAGTAGAGGAATGCGTCGGCTGGGGATCGAACCCCGAACCTCCTGCGTGGTTGGCGAGCATTCTACCTCTGTGCCAACAACACCCATTTTAAGATTTGAACAGGAGCAATTCCATATAGGAGTAAATTTGCTTACTGAATGTTAAAATTGTAGAGTTGTTTTTTTAATAGTGTTTATCATTTGAAAAAATGATAAAAAGTACGACAAACAATCCGAAAGTTATACACTAGTGGCTGTATTTTCTATTCATGTCACTCATAATATCTTAACATTAAGTGAAAATTTTCAGTGTGAAATACTATATCGAATAAATAAGGGTTAATAGAAAGCTGATAATTCTGGATATCCGTATTCTGAACCTACTGCATGTTCACAGTGGAGCATATTTGTGACTATATTATTCATCCCTTGGATTCCGTGTGGAACAACATAGGACTTTAGCAGTACACCACCTAACAATTTCATAAACGTATGCTCAATCCGGCTCTTTTTTTCTTTCTGCACACTTGTTGGGCAACAAGTTATTGGTTTGTTCGTTGCGAGACTTCCTTGACACTTATCTTTGCTGACTGGCTAATTGGTCTTCAGTATGGAGCTAGAGAAGACACCTATTGATGAAAGTCTGCAGCTTTTGGGGAATATTTTACGTAGTGTGCGCGCCAGCTTTCTCAACCATATAGTAGCACTGACTTGACATTAGTACTGAAAATTGGGGATCTTTCTGTGCTGAGTGAGGTAGATTTCCACATTGTTTTCAGATTTAATGCATGACTGTCGTGATTTCCGAACTCTGACTGGCTTTGACATACCCATCCGTGTCGCCTGTAGTTGAAACGATGATGTCCAGTTGAGTGAAGGAAAAGACTTCCTTCAGGTTTCTCCCGTTGCTGGTAACTGATGATTGTTGTTCACTCTATTCAATTGAAATTCCGTCTTTGCTGCCAATTCTGCAAACTTGTTGGTGTTTCCTTGTAAATCGTCGAATTTGAGAGACACGAGACAGAAATCATTCACGACGTCCAAATCTTCCAGTCTTTTTGTCAGTCCAATGTATGCCGGTTTTTCTACTCCCCCTCCACAGTCTGCCGCATGACCCAACCCACTAGTGATAGTAGGCAGCCTTGTCTTATTCCTGTCTTCACTTCGAAGAATTCACTGAGCTTTCCGTTGTGAATCACTTGGCAGGTGGTGTGACCATAAGGCTACTGGTCTGCTGCACTCCACAATGTTCAAGAATCTGATCGCTTCATACCTTGAAGGTTCTCGTTTCAATGCCAGGTCGGGTTATGCCTACTGCTGAGGAGTCACAGACTAAGACGAAATAAACTCGCATTACCCTTTGATTTTCAATCACTCTCTCTCCCTCTGAAGTCACTTTATGGCCAAATCTTACTTGAAATCAATCAACCCACTCATCCTACCTACGAACTACCACTAGAATATTATCAATTAGACTAAATACACAAAATCACTTACTGTTTACACTGGCCTAACAAAGAAGCCATTGACCGGAGTAGATGAATTAGTCTAGTTATAAAACTATAGAATTCTGATTGTGTTTTAGTCAGTGGATTATCAGTACCAGGAATACAAATTCCACAAACAACTTCAGTTGGATTATCAGCAGTAGTAGTACTGGTTTCACCTTGAGACATCTGTAGTGGTGCTTGACCCGGAACACAAGGAGGCAATGGATAACGTTCAACAAGCTGAAAGTAAATCATTTAGTGTGGGATTAAATGCTATAAATATAAAACGATTGTGAATATATTTGCTCTTAGGTTAATTTGCATTTATCGTTGATTGATTATGTGTTGGATCGAAGTGCTCTGTGCATGCAGCTGCCGAGTCCCAAACACGACGAAATACACATCTTGGATTCCATTGCTAGTCATCATCAACCGAAGTAACTTCACACCATTCCTAAGACACAGTCGAAGCATCCGTACTAGCGGCCGACATGTCAACAGAGAGACCCAGTATTTCAGGTCAACATAATCGACCAACGGGAAATGCAAAATTTTAACCTAAAAACAAAAGTAATAACTGATATCCGTTGCACAAGATGCTTGTAATGGCTTCCTGTCGATTCCTTTCAACTACCTAACGAATGTAAAGATCCTAAGATTGATTGATGGTTAAGGAAGAAGTAGAAATCAGTCTGCAAGATCTGCGATAGCTGAACATCAGGTCAACACTGATCACTCAATCACGACAACTTTACCCTCCGAAATTACACCTAAGAACTGTTAAATAACCCATCAGAATCAACGTATATTCACTTTCTTTGCACTCCTGATGCCCTAAATGTCGAATTACAGGAGCTGCAGCTTTGTACACAGAAAAAAAAACTGGTTAAAACTCTGCTTTCTTCTACTATCTTAGCCTTTTAGTGTTGAAAAAAATGCCTCTACTTCCCTCAAGCGATGTAATTGTGACGTAATGCAAACTGTTTGTCATTTAAATGCTTATTTAGACCATAGTTCATTCTCCCAAATATTCCATCATATTTCGTATCTCATTATTTATAATTATCCACCCTTAATAAATTCCCACTGACTGGTTTTAACGATTTTACACTTATTTCGCTAGTCAGTAAGCATTTTGAGGAGCACTTTAACTAACCTACAGTTATACTTAGTTTGTTCAGCATCCACCACCTATCTGAATGGATTGTAGACATTAGTCCTTTAATTGTAACTGAGGTCGCAAAAGCTGTCTTTAGTCTGAAACGAGGAAAAGCAACAGGTCCTTATGAAATCACTCTATAAGTGTTTCAGAATAGTGGTGATGAATTGTTAACTGTTTTAACTAAGATATCATGTAGTGTCTGGGAATAGTTTCGTTGGACTGGTGTAAATCATTGATTATTCTAGTTTATAGGAAGGGGAACACGTTTGCCTGTAAGAACAATCATAGGGTTAAGCTTGACTGGCTTGACTAGTACAAATAATCACGCGTCCACTAAGCGGTACTTGGTAGGAACAAACCAGTGAAAACAAGTCAGGCCTTAGGCCCAGACGAGAGTGTTTGGATCACATTTTTACCCTTCGACAGATTCTGAAATATAGGCATACTTACCGGTGTCCAACAAATCTTACATTTCTTAACCTAAAGGCGGTATTTGACTCCGTCAACCGAGGGGTAATGTATCAATGTTTCGTCGTGAACAGAGTGCCGAAAAAGTATATCACACTAACCAAGACGCTTTACTCGAACTCACACGGCCTTGTTAGACCCTATGGAGAGTTATCATGTGAAGTGATGAACATCAAAAGTGTCCGTCAGGTATGTTCATTGTCCCCATTTTCGTTCACCTTCATTATAGTAATGGGTGGGATATACAACTATCGATTAAAGGACATATGTACCGCGCAGCAGTTCGTTCTGCTTACGTTGTTGAAAGTGAGAGATATGAAGAGGTTAGTTGTCACTGATCATAGGTGTATGCTTCCCATCTCTCGTGTTAAGTGGTATAATATGGTGGGTAATAGTGAAGTTAGATGAGAAGAGGAAGTCTGTCAATGAAATTGTGAAGCTAAATTAATCGAGATCGATGGGATATGTGTCACACATGCCAAGTCACTACCTCCCTGATTGAGCAATGTTAACAGACACAGGACTAGCTTGGATAATAGTTAGAGGTAGTCGAATGGACTACTCGGCTGGGATCCCCGAGACACTAAGAACTATTTGCTTGAGACTTTTAGTGATATGCCTCAAAATCGTTCGTACATTTGCATTTATTTGTCGAATATTATTAAGGAAGCATCACACAAATCTATGGTATCTCATTAACTCATAAACATTCATTTGTTTAGAGCAAAGTAAATTAGAGAGTTGTGTCCCCCAATCTGAATATCAGTAACGCATTGTACACACGAAAAGTAGTACAATTCGTGGACACATACACTACTCTGAGACTATATTACGACGTATAATTTATTATATACAGTAAAATATCACAAATTGAGAGAATAAGATTAAACTTACATGATTAGCCAGCAGATCACATTTCCCAGCTAGTCGATCGATTAACAAAAGTGAAAGTAATGCTTCATTATCACCACCACGTCGGAGAAATGAGTCAGGTAAGAAAGCAGATAACCGCGTCACATGATTTGCAGTTTGTTCTGCTTCAAGGCGTCTTAATTCAGCTTCAATTACCTATTTTCAATGTTAAATAAGACAGTAAAATACATTATGGTAACATGAATTCAAAGTAGCAAGTAGAATACAGAAGAGTTCATCACGAATGATTGAAATTAAAACATAAATATCAGTTAGAACTTGAAATACTAATCAACTCAACCCAACTCAACGTTACTCAACAGTCATTTGCAATTTCATATAGTTGGGGATGATCTACACATGTTGTGTGAGGGTTGGTCATACTGTCCCAGGCTGTGTAAACTTCAATGCTTGGAGTGGAGTTCGAACGTGTGACCAACGTGTTGAAAGTCGGGCACAGAGACCAATGAGCCGCAACTTCTAAAAACTCCAATATTAATAGTATTATTTGTTCCTTGAATTCTGACTGAAACATAGGGATTCGACAGCCTTGAACCTAGGTTTCGTGGTTCTTGGCACTCGTCAGGAAGGCATACTTGCAGCCCTGAAGGAACTCGTATCCCTTCTGAGATTAGCACCCACGTCACCCAGTGCTGCGGTTAGAGACGTTACCACTGAGCTATTCGGGCTCGCGACTGACCTCCTGTAGGACTGTATTGGCTATTTTTAATTCGATACTAGTTAATAGCTAGCGTAATGTGTCTAGTCCTTTGTTTTGTGCAGACTGAATTCTATCAGTCGAGTTCGTAATGTGGCCACGATGCTAGGTGGCTCGCCATCAGAGTGCACTGTGAATTGTTGGTGTTAGATGGTTGGAAGACATCGGCAGGAAACCTTGAACCTAGGTTTCGTGGTAGTTGGTGGCCACATTGCAAACTTGACTGACAGAATTCAGTCTGCACAAAACAAAGGACTACACACATCGCGCTAGCTACTAACTAGTATCGAATCAAAAATAGCCAATACAGGCCTACAGGAGGTCAGTCGCGAGCCTGAATAGCTCAGTGGTAACGGCTCTGACTGCAGCACTGGGTGACGTGGGTTCGAATCTCAGAAGGGATACGAGTTCCTTCAAGGTTGCAGATATGCCTTCCCGACGAGTGCCAAGAATCACGAAAACTAGGGTCCAAGGCTTCCTGCCGATTGCCTGCGACCATCTAGTAGTGAAGCTAACCGAGAGTGGGACTTCAGAGAACAGATTGCAAAGCAGATGTGTTATCAAACCCCTATGTTTCCATCAGAACTCAAGGAAAAAATAGCTTCACTACTGTCCAGGAGTTTTCGTTTCCTTCTCACATGACCTTCTCCGTATCATTCTAAGAAAACCAAGCCATCGTATCTACTTCAGGCAAATTGGTTAAGACACCACACTTATCATTCAGATTCCAAAAAATTAACCGAAATTTAGGTAACCATATATCTCTAAAAGATTACATGTTGCTTACAGATTAAAACACGAGAAGTGTAAATGATAATTGAGTTGTTAAACTAATTCAAATCGGTAAAAGTATAATTCCAATAGTCGTTATAGCTTATCATAGTGATATAAGGAAAGCGGAGTTTATTTCTAAGACGAACGGGATGTCAAAATTAAGTTTAAAAGGCATTTAGCATAAAAAAGGTTATTGACTTGCCATGTAGATATAAAAACATAGGCATCTTTAAAGTAAACAATTACTAATTGCGGACAAGATTTTAGTAGTTAATGAAATTAAAATGAACAATATATGTTTTGTCCCCATTTATAGCTCTTCAACAACACGCACTCATAACTTCACCAGGCGTCGAACGATGCGAGAGGTTGTCATAAACGGGGCACACCAAGTTGATTGTGACGACAATTACTTGCAGATGATGTTGGTGGCTGCCAGCGGAGCTATAAATCGCAAAACTGGCAGAAGTCAGAATTGATGGCCCGCCCACTGGATTCTGTCCCAGCGACTGAGTGATCAACGAGTTCTTCCTGTAAAATGAAGAGTCCTGTGTTCGGCCTCTAGTGAGGTGGTGATAGGTATCTACTATTGGAAATTCACAAAACTAGGAAGAGAGAGATTTTTAGTACTACTTGGTTTTCACTAATTCTCTAATTGAAGTCGGTTCATGATCCAATTTGAAATCAATTAAATCCTTGCAAACCAGCGTTAGAAATTTTCCCACTGAGCCTATTTCAATCCCTAATTTGATATTATTATAAAATATTCTGTTTCTTCTAGTATAAATAAACCAGTATGAAGTTTTAAAATTAATTTCGGTGAATAGAAAACTTCCTTCATTATAATCCTTTTCATTTTGTTTACTTTTAATTATTACTCTGATTTCTGTGTGTACAATGGTCTTTCAGGATTACTTAATTTGTATCGATGAATAATCGCTGTGTCAAATATTGCGTAAAATCAATAAAATTAGCAATAAAAATCATTTTCAAGCGTTAGCTTGTAGCCATTTGATTGGTTTCAAGTGTGATCACGGATTAATATCATTCGGAGAGTCAGTCACTGAAACCCAGGGAGTATTTGACAGCAGTACGAACCTATAACCACCTCACGCAGGATGGAACCCTAGACCTGCAGGTTAAAAGGCGAGCTCGATAACCATTCAGCCACTCGGATGGAATCCAATGACTTTTCACACTTCTAACTTCTGCCAGTTCCCCGATATACAACATCACCACCAGCCAATATGTCAGCGGTGAATATTTGTCCTCACACCCAACTTGGTGGACTCGGCTAGTCACGACTTTCCCCTAGAACTTTGGGTGACTGCAATCGGTAAGTCAACCACTAGTGAGTATCAGATTACTTTTTAAGTGTTGATTTCTAGGAATTTTATTTGTTTTCACTTTTCATCACAGATTGATATCAATAAAAATAATGATATGAAATACTCACTTTAGCAAGAGTTTGTACTTGAGAGCCTAATCCAAATTTACCCCCCATAAATGCAGCTGTAGAACCGACAAGATCTGTTGCAACTGTACGATAGGCATTTTGTTGCTGTTGTTCTTCCTGTAGGCGTTTTTCATCCGCTAATGACCTACGTAGATCAGTATTTTGTGTTTGTAAATCAGAGACTAAATCTCTAAATTTACCAAGAGTTTGTTCATAGTCTGCAATTGTTTCACGTGTCGCATCTAAATGACGTACAAGTTGATTAATTTGACTGTTGGCTCGTTCAATTTCTTCAAGTAGTTCAAGTTTTGTTTGACGACTATTCTCTTGCAATTCATCATTCATTTCACAAAGAGCTTCCTATAAAAACCATAGGAAAAAAAAAAGAAGCAAATAATTATTTAATTAAAGCACTTTTTTAAAATCAAAGACGGTTAATTCTTATCATTTCTAGACTTTTTGTTATAAACTCCACATAGTAGTAATATCAACTTTCTGTTAACATCAAAAAAATGCTGAGCTTTAGTGATGGTTATCGCCTTACTATTACTTTCAGTACTGTTGTCTCTATTGTAAAGATCAATATAAGGTAATACTTTGGATGCTCGCATTTAAATTGAACATAGAATATGATTGCAGTCTATAGCTTTGCAGATTGAAAAAGGGGCATGGTATATTTACAGCTTAATAATAATAATAATAGCTTTATTCCAAACAGTATTTATGGTACAGGTATGGAATTTTCAGCGTGCATTACAATATTACATCTAATTACCTCATAAATTTTATAAGATTTTAAAAATAAAAAGCAACAACAACAAAAAGAAAAGACGAGAAATAAAAGAAATAAAAAAGAACGGCATTGCATTCACATATTTAAACAATGCACCACAGGATATGAAATATAAAATTAATGTGTAATAGAATATGTGAGCAACAATATAATAGTTACAAAGAAAGGAGAACAAAAGCTAATGGGAACTATTTGTTCGAGTGCCGCAGTAAGTTGATCGTGTCATACTTAACAGTTTTCTCATCACATAACAGCTGTGCCAGATAAGGTATTGTGAAGTTTTTGTACTTAGGAGCCCTGGCATATAGCCTCCTATAGTTGCTTCTAGTTCTACCAGATGAAATGCAAGGAGAGAGCTGCGTATAGAGAGGGTGTTCGGGGTCTGACACTATAGAATTCGCTAGTTTCTTACATGACATTATATGTCTATCCACAATTGTGTTAACCAGTTGGTTTAACGAAATCCCACTTCCCCTACTAACAGCTTTTAGTGCCCTACGCAGCAAAGCAAAGTCTTTCTTAAGTAATCCAGGAAAGATTAATGGGGAGCAGTAAAGAGGGATCGTTAGAATACAAGAGTTGACAAACTGAGAAAGCAAAGACTGCTTTATACCAGACTGCCTTAACTTCCTAACGTAGAACGTCAAGCGAAACATCTTTCTAGTAACTAGCAAGATGTGAGAGGACCAGGAAAGATCGGAGGAAATCCTCAGTCCAAGGTATTTGACATTAGAGGTAGTTTCAATCTCTATGCCATCAATGATAGTGGGACCATGTGAGCTAGCTAGTTGTTGTAGGTCACGTTTTCGTCTGAAAGTGAAATTTACTACCTGATATTTAGACGGATTCAGCTTAGGACCGTTTGAAGAGGACCACTGACTAATTTCCGAGAGAAAGTATGCACGGACTGGGGTTCGATCCCAGGGCCTTCCGGTTACAAGGCAAGCTCGTATTCCATTCAGCCACTGGCCCATGAATTCTAACTTCTACCAATTCGTGTTTTTAGCGCGACCATCAACTAATTTCATCGGCGGGAAATCCATCCTCATTCTTGTTATTATTTCAGCAGCAACTTGCTACAATATGGGCAACACGAGATGTGCCACACAAAACAAAAACAATAAGACACAGTATAAGGAAGAGAAATGGAGTAGCTGGGGAACAGAATTATGCAAACTCGCAAGCATACTTATTCAGGGGACTTATCACCGCATGCTACTCTCAGATTACGATTCTCAGCCATATTTGATAACAACTCAAGTCAGTGATTTGGACTGTCATTCGGGGTAGCGGTGCAACAAGAGATGCTAAACTAATGACAACTATTCTCTATCCCATGACAACACGTCATGGATTGAACACCACCTGTCCGCTCCTAACCGACCGTTTAGTTAGAGTTAATTAATTAGAAATATGAAGGAGTCACATCGCTTGCAGGAAACTTTCGTCATTATTGAGTGTAGAAATGCTACAACTAATTCCCATTCCATAGTAGTTTAACTAACGAATGAACGGTAGTTAGGTAAGTGGGTAAAGTGAGACAAAAAAAAGTGTGAACTACATTTACACTAGAAATTAAAGATATTTCATAATATCCTGTTACATTAACAACGATTTATTTACAGTTTTCCGCAAACCGTGTAAATAAAAGATTGTAGAGCACCAATATTAAGAATAAATCAGAGCAAACAATAATGGTCTGCTTAAATAACTAGGCTACCCGATTTTCTTTCCATCAGAATTTCTCTCATTTACTCTATTTTATTTTATTTTAATTACCCAATTACATCTCTGAGTTGCAGTTTATACTCAAGCCCGTTTTCTACTTAGCAAGAGACCTAGGAACAGAGTCAAATGCAGATGTGTAATCAAGGGAGGCACACCGAACATATTTGGCTCCTCTATCTAAACTAGAGACTATATTATGATGTAGAACAACAGCGGCATCTAAGGTACTCCTACTATGTTTATAGGCAAACTGGTTGGGGTCATTAAAAGGCTTTAAAGAGGGTTCAAGATTAAGTAAAATAAGTCTTTCCATAACTTTTAAAAAAGGTGAGGTAATAGCAATCGGTCGAAACTTAACAGTAGGTCCACTTGTTGATTTAGGTACTGGAACAACCTAGACATTTTTCCATGAGTCCGGAATAATACTTTGGGAAAAGGATTCATTGAAAATGTCGGTTAATGGGTAACATAAGATGTCAGCACACTTCTTAAGGATAACAGCAGGAACTCCATCAGGACCAAGGGACTGGGTAGGTTTCAGAGATTGAAGACAATTAAGGACATCGTTCGTGTTAAAACACGAGAAGCAGTCATTATTTATACTATTAGATTTGGGAATCATAACATCTGCAGGGATACATATGAAGGATTTATTAAGCATATCAACATCAACATGTGTATACATACCAGATCATTTCTTTCTTCTTTAATTTTCTCAAGCGTTTCTTCCAGTTCTAAATTACGTTGTGTCAACTGACTGACCATTGTATCAATGCCGAGGTAAGCATCCACTTGTTCTTTTAATTCAATAATTTGTTCAACACTATCTTTTAAATTTTTTGTTAATCGTTCTTTTTCTGTTTGAAGTTGACTAACTTCTGATTCTAAAGATGTAATCTTTAAAATACAAATAAACAAAATTAATTATTCAGTTTAAAGTTTGGTATTTCAAATTCTCATAAAAAGTAGGTAAATACAATGTGATAGTGTAGATTTCGTCGTGAACCAACATCAGTTAGGGAAATATTCAAAATCAAGGAGCTCCAGACAACTGTTTCGTAATTGATTAGAACTCTTCAGCAATACGCACTCACGTCCCCAACGGAGGTCGAATTCAGGACCTTCATGTCACAAGGCTGATTCCGTTGACTATTCAGCATGCTGCTGAAGAGCCACAAGTTGGGACAAAACCACTGTCTAGTGTTCTATGGTTTTTGATAATTTTTTAACTGATATTGGATTGAGACGAAATATGCAGTAAAATTAATCCAAATCCCTACAACGAAATTCCCACAATCTCAATACGATATCAGACGTCAGTGACTGTGATGTCTGTTTCAAGCTATTTAATATTACAAAATAGCATAGAAGTGAGCTGAATTAGTATAAATGAATATACAGATAAAGCTGACTAACTTACTGATCTCAACATAGAACTTTGCACACATATGGGGCAGTTCCAGTTGAATTAAATAATTAATATGACCCATTGCACAAGAGGTGGCCCTCTTGGCCCAAGTGGTCTAGTGGATAACGCTTTGGCGTTTGAAGCTATGGGCACTGCGTCCGAGCCTCAGTGGGGACATCATCACTCACTGCGGAATACAGCTAGATCCAATTGACGAGTCCCAAATAGGCCGAAATGCGCATCCTGGATTCTATTGCTAGTCACCATCCACCAATTAACTTCTATTTTCTGACTGTATAGTTCATTGTGATGGTGAAAACCTTACTACTACCATTAGTCGTCTAGTTTAAAGAAAGCAATAAGAGTGAACTGATCTAACTGGCCGTTACAGATATAATAGACAATAACAATAAATCAGCGATAAATGGCGGTTAAATGCACCAAGTACAACCAAAGAATCTCAGCTGATCTAACCTTCTCGAAATACCTTACTAATAGACACATTTTCATAGAGTTTACACGGGCGTCCTACTAACAGCATTATTATGTGGAAGAAATTTTGCCACAAAAATGAAGGCTTGGTGAATATGGGGTACCATGTGACGAGTTTAAAACGCCTTGATTCCATACAGAATGTGTACAGGTAAAAATAGCTTACAGATTTGACTTAGTTACCAAAATTAAGATAAAATGCATCATGACATTGCTTTGCTTATTTTCGAATTGGACTTTAGGTCACAGATTTGGACTGTCCCCATAACATTTCGAGCTTCACAAAAATCGTAAGACAACAGAGGTAAATAACTCTTATCACATCATTCATCACTTCCATTTGCTCGACCATTCACTTTTAGGCTTTATTTTCCCACTCAGACAAACTGTTATCTCAGACTTAACTGTAAACTTTGATATTGTCTATCAGTGAGTTGATGTTAAAAGAAGAGTTGGAAGAATAAACGAAATTCAAAACACAGTTGAAGCCAATATGCGAAGAATTCACAATACTCAGCTATACAGCTCCATTAATATTTATAACTTTTGGTAGCCTGTTTAGTGTTCTTAAAAGTAGACTTGATTGGTGTACAGAATATTAATAAGTTTAGAAATATTGAATTGGTAAGTTGAGTGCATTCACTACTTATCTCATAAGTTAGAAAAACCTTTACTATGATAACAGTGACTAGCAGAGGAATGTAGGATGAGCACTTCGTCCTATTTGAGATTCATCATCTGGACGTACGTATGCTGGTGTTCCACTCAGACTAGAACCCTGCACCCGATGCGCTTTGATAAAAAGCTTGTACTGAAGATGTTGTTCGGAAGGAACATGAAAGTTTCGCAGTTTTAAAATCATCCAGCTCAAAGAACGCAAGAACATCAAAATTACAACTTTACCTTCATCGAGTTTCTTTCTTTGCTCACTGCATCATACATAAAAATTATTAAGCAGGAATTTACCTGTTTAGTTAAAGCTGAAATTTCCGATTTATCTTGATTAACCAAATCACGTAGCTTGACCAGTGCTCCTTTCATTCGTTCATTTTGTTGTTCAAGATTTTTAAACTGTAAGAGAGTTGAACCGCCTTCAACACCGACTGATACTGCACCGGGTATTTTCCACAAGAAAGAGAAAGAGAGATAACAACGTAGAATGCAATAAGTAACTAGGAACGCAATGTCTAGTAATTTATCTCCTTAAGTAAGAGAAAAATGTTGGCGAATTTCTAGACAAGAAAACGCAGTTACCCTTGATGTAGGAACAGAGTATAATTCCATATCATGGGATCATTTCATTCGATAAAATAACTCGACGTAGGATTCATAACAAGGCAGGAATTAGGGTGGAATTTAAACCTACAAAGTAACTCAGAGATTAAGGGACCCTATTAGACAAAACTATTTAATCAATATAATGACCTGCAGTGACTGTGAGATCAACTACAACTATAAGACCAGTTGTTTGGTCAGATTATTGGAGCATACGAATTTGGCTTAGTGTGAAATGATGGACTTCACAAAAATGAAAATCACACAATACAATGGGGAGAGAGCTACAGTTCTAAAAAGTAATATAAATAGGTGGAGAGAGAAATCGAGCATTGAATTTTTCTTCATTTAATCTATAGGTAACACATGAGTAGGAATAACGTAACGCTGGTATACTGGAGATATGGATAAGAAATAATAGAATTACATAAACGAAGTTTAAAAGTTATGTGAGTGCCTTGATATAGTTGTAAGCAATAAATTGTTGTCGAAACGTCATCAGTAAAAAATGTTGCATCACTGTTTTTCTCCCCAAATAAAATTATTCTATAAAGGGACAGGGTGACCTTTTATATTTTTACATATTCTTCTTTACCAATCAGTTAATCTTTATCCTCAGAATTGAAAAATGAGTTTTGAGTAATGTCACGCACTGACAGTATTAGCTTATTTACGTGATTCCCTGCTGATAAATCTGACACGAATTGATCAGCTTCAGTTTGGTATACAGCTACAATTAACGACCTGGTACGGTCGACGGTGGGTAGACTTCAGTCTTCCTCTAGAAGTCGTCTCATGTGCTTACGCGTTTATAGCCTTTGATTACGTAATTCATGTTTACTACCTTTAAGCTGCCTGGTTGAAAGGGCGAATCCGGACATCTGGCGCTAACAACTGGACTGATGAACTCATTCAGTAGATGCCTAAATACTACCTTGAAGTATATAAAATGACTTCTCAAAATACATGAACAACAAGTATGGAGATAGTTACCACAATAGCTCCTGAAAAGTAATGAGCACAATGTCAGTTGACAGTTCTGCGATTAGAGTAAAGCCGATAACACTGAAGAAAAAAAGTGAAATGTTTATCCAAGTTATAAATGACTGATAATAAAATACGATGAAATTGTTATCACGATGTGCCTGTGTCTCTACCTTAGTTGATTGACTTGTTTCGCAACCTGTGAGCTAACGTGGTTAATAGCATCTTATAGAAAGTTCAGATGGGTGGTTAGATCACATTCTGTGAGGTGTTAAACGAGAATTTTTAAGAGCTAAGATATCAATGGAAACACTGCTGTGTAAATCACTTGACTAGTACAATTTCCTTTTCAGTAGTTTATCCCAACTATAGTAGAAACTTTTCGAAGAGGCTTCAGATGCGTTCGCTCCATACTGCAGATTAAATGACAAGTAAGGATAAGCAAGCAACCAGGAGCTCCGGCACGAAAAAACCACCCAAGATCATATCGTCCAACAAATATGCAGAGGAAAACATAAACGCATTGGACATAGGCTGAGAAAACTATCGAGTGACACATCACGTGCCAGACCCTCGAGTGAGATTCAAACAACAATCGATGAGTTGGGCACACGAGAGTGACATGAAGGAGGCCGTGTGAAGTGGAGATGAAAGTTATGAGCAATCGTGGGGCCAGCTACGACAGGCCGAAGGCGACAGGATGAAATATCGATCGATGTGTTGCTGAAGCAATATGTTCCACTAGGAACCCTAATGAATAATAATAACATATACAATAGAAACGATTTTAAAATAACCTTGAAACAACTTAAATCATTACTACTAACCTTTTTCTTCAAATTCTTTTTTCAAGATTTGATTCTCAAGAGTTAATTCTTCTACTTGTTCCTTAAGTAATTCAATTTCTCCAGTCAATTTTTCTAGTTTTTCTTCGGTCATTTCTTTATCTAAAGTGATCATTTCTATATTTTCAACCATTTCAGATACTTCTTCACGATAACGATCAAATGCTTCTTTGACTTCAGCTTTTTCCTTAATAGAGATTAATAATAAACACATTAGTGAACCAGGTTTTCAACGAAAATAGCCAGAGATGTATTTAGAAACTAAGGAGAGCTAACAGAGCGAGTATTTTCTAGCTTGGCACTTTTTACTAATGCAAACACATGACTGCATGGAGCAATGAGCTCAGGATCATTGAGTTACAAGATGCGAGTGTTATCATTGAACCAAACGGTTAGCATGCAATCTTTGAACTCAGTTCCTGGAAGGGGTGTTTCATATTCCAGGGATTATGAGTGACACTTATTGTGTAAGGGTTAATGATACTGCCCAGTTACCCGCTCTAGGTAGGCACAGTGGGATTCGAACCCGAGGCCCACTGGTCAAAAGTCAAGTGCTTAAATCAATGAGCTAAGTTTGCCTTGCATGTCCTCAATTCATTAGCAGAAGAAATCAGTGCAAAACTTATGAGAGTAATTCACTCTGGAGAAGTTATTACTTTTAAAAGCAGTTACTTCCTTTCATGAATTTCGACAACAACAAAAAAAAATAAGACGCAGTTTGTTCTATCTGAAACATGTAATGCATTCACGTAACACATTTCGGACATTCTGATCACACGGCCTCCTTGTCAATACATATTTATATTAAAAACTAACTGACCATAAAGGCTCAAAACTCTACCAATGAGTCAAGGAGTCATGATCACAGATATGAGGTAGGAGAATCATACACACACACACACACAAAACACGTCGACTTTTTGATGGTTGGTATGTATTAAATGGCAGTAAAAAGATCACCAGTTTCTGCACATCACTCTGTGAGCAAGTAAACGGACAAAATTCACATTGGTAGAAGTGTTTCCACTATATTATTAGTATTCGCTATCTGCGAAATGTGATTACTAGCACTACTCTTTTTGACGTCAACTTTGTCATTACATACAGAGTGGGTAGACATAGGTCCCATAGATTGTACAATTGCGAAATTACACTAATCTATTATTAACATGGATCGTGGATGAGAAATAGTACGAAAACAAAGTGCAGTGGCTATTTGTGGTTCTATAACTGAGAACCATCTTTTTTAAACTGGAACTGGGAACAGTCAAAACTCAAGTGTTAGCAGTCAATAACTTCATGTTGCATCATCAATAGCTTACTCCATATAGGGTCATTTTCAGGTTATCAATCGATTTTGATTAGTTATCGCCATCGATTGAGAATATATTATCTCCTTACAGTTAGTCAACTAAGAGAGTTCACAAACTTTCCGTTCATACAATTTTATGATTTATTTACAGAGGTTTCAATTTTTAAAAGAAACATCTCCCAGTATAGCTAAGTAAAGGTGTAGTGAAAACCATCAACAGTTCGATATTTGATCATCTGGTCCAAACCAGCCACAAAGCCAGCATTGAAGAATCCTTCTCTATCATCTACCGTGTGCCAAATAAATTGCCGAAAACAGCGAAGTACCACATGCTCCAAACAGCAGAGGCTATTTCAATTCGCCTCAAATAACCAGTGCTTTGTGTGCAAAAGAAGCAAGTCTAGCCACTACTATTGCCCTGGCCTTTAGTGGAGATTATAAATCCATGAATTTGTATTATTATCTTTACTAATTTTTCTGACATTTAGTTTATTGTTATATTGATGCTATTTAACTATAATCTATTGATATTCGTGGTTATTTAAACATTAATGTTGTTCACAACACTAATTTATTCATTTACTATAATGTATATATAACTGCAGAGCCTGATGATGAAGTTATCGAAAAGAGTATTCTTTGTTCAGTATCCATTCTTTGGAAACAGTAATGATAGTGACTTCAAAAGAATAATTTAAGCTCCAAGTACAGTTCACCAACCCAACAAAATTGTTAAAATCAATATAAGAAAGAAAACCTACTGTTTTTAATTGAGCAATTTCACGTTGTAATTCAGCTGCTTGTTGTCGGATTCGACGTCGATTCTCTTCAACTTGTGACAGCTGAATTTTAACACGTTCTAATTCTTGTATTCTATTTTTATCTTCTTCCCGTTTAGCTTTTAAAGCATCAATTTGTTCACGAAATTCGATTACTTCAGCACGTAGATTTGCCAGTTCCAACTCTGTGTCTGGGATGTACTTACCAGTACCACTTGGAACAGCTGATACAGATGTTTTTGGTATTTTTTGAGACGTATCTCTAAGTTCACTTGGTGCATTTTCAGAATCCACCTTCTGCGCAGCCGCTTTTACATCACTAAGTGCTGCTGTTGTTTGTGAGATCTCTGAAGGATTTATTGGCATTTTAATACCAGTAGGGATAGGCGGTGTTGATGTAGTAGTGGTAGTAGAAGTGGGGAGTTTACTCCCACTTATCATCTTACGAGTCGGACTATCCGATTTTGAAATTTGTGTGTAAGATTTACTCATTATGTCTGCTGCACCAGGTTTATCCGCAGAAGGCTTACTAGAAGGACTTTCAATTTTTGCAGAGGCAGTTTCAGGTTTTAAAGCTGTTGATGTTGGAGCTGGACTACTTCGTACAAGGTCTGGATTAGATCCAGTTGGTGGAAGCTATAAAAGTGAAGAAAAAATGAGTAAAAGTATGGAAAGTGATGGTTTGACATGCGCTGCTTCAAAAAGGAATTGGCGCTCAAAACAACGCCTACACTGACACCTCAAGTGATATGACTGAAGGATTAGTGCGGAACACTGCACAACACTTCATTAGTTCATGGTGCTACACTTCAAAGCACCACATAGAAACTCCAATGCTGAGTGCAAAAATTTACCACCAAGAAGAGAAGCAGATATACCTTTTGTAATTTAGCAAAACACGAGATAACAGAATAAACTGGTACTCATAACGTGCAACACACTAGGTGGTTGTGTTAAACATGTTGTTTATTTTAAATATATACAAGACCACCAAAAACTGAAGCTTAATACATGTACAGTAAAAGGAAGAGTAAAGTTTAACAACAATTTAAAGTAATCTTAGACCTTATTGTATTATAATTGCTACTCCCACGGGTTACTGGTAGAAAATTAGGCTTCACAGCAGCACAGATTCATTGCATCTTGTTCTCCGCAGTCTTTTCTTAGGTGGCTCCTCGACTGCTCATAAGCTTTCATCTTAACCTTACACGAACTCATCCATGCCATCCTCGGACAAACAACGCATCTTTCGCTTCCCATTCATGTTTTACTCGAGTGCTTGGAGCATGATGCCACGGTCTTCTCAGTGTATTTCTGATCCATATATATGTCCTTCTACATATTTCTACATGGGCAATAGGCTTTTGGGCAGTTGGCTGACGGAGTTCCTTGTTGCTTACCTTTCTGGTCAGCCATCTGATCCTCAGTATGGAACCAAGTCTGTCTGGTATGCTTTTGATAGTGCGCCAATTCTCTGAACCATATGGAATCACTGACTGACTTGACAATGGCATTGGAAATTCGGATCTTGTTACTTATACAGAGTTCGATGGATTCCCACACTGATTTCAAAGTAATGAAGGCCTGTATTGCCTTTTCAACCTTGCCTTTGACATCTTCATCTTTGCTTCCCGCCTAGGTAATTGAAAGAAGTGGCTTCCTTCACACTTCCCCCATTGATGTTAGTTCGTTCTTGTTGCTGTCGATTAGGTTTCTAATCACTTCTGTTTTATCAATGTTCATTTGAAGTCCGGTCTTCACTGCCTCTTCCACTAACTTGCTGGTCTTTCGCTTGTAGATCTTCAAACTTCTGCGAAATTAGACATAAATCATCGACGAATGTCCAGATATTCCAGTGTCTTTTTTTCCCTCCAGTGTATGTCCGTCCTGTCTCTCCTCACGGACTGTCGCATAGCTCAGTCTAATATAACTAGAAAAATCGTCGGTGGCAGTAGGCTGCCTTGTCTTACTCTAGTCTTTACTTCAGAGGCTTTGCCAAGCTCCCCGTTGTGAATCAGTTGGCATGAAGCATTGTCATATAACTGTTGAATGAGGCTGATACAGGTTTGAGTTGCTGCAATCCATGGTGTCAGATCAGTTTCCAAATTACCTTGAATCTTTTTACATAGGCATTTACAAGATGAAATCCCGAAAGCTTGAACATTATCAACAAGGAATCTGAACTATTGAAGAATTGATAATTCTAGAAGAAACATAAACTTTATTAAAAACCTGTTTGTCTCATTCATTTTTAGATACGCTATACTGTTAGATGATTTATCTATATTTGATATTATAGACATGGTTTTCAGTGTAGAACACACTGGAAGCTGCAATTCGCTTAAAACCTTAAAATTAACCATTTTATTTATTTATTTATTTAATTATAGCTTCATTCCACACAGTATTTTGGTACAAGTACGGAATTCTCCGCATATGATATCGGTAGTTCAAATTTAGCCGGCCGAGACCATTGATATCAGGTGGGCGTCGGTTGGGGATCGAACCCCGGACCATATGCATGGTCGGCGAGCGTCATAACTGCTGTGCCACCGACACCCTGAATAATCACTTAGAATGAAACACAAGATGATGAGATCTAGTGAACTCCAACAGTTCTGCAGCAACTGTTGATTTGTGCAGTTTACGTCCATTTATCACTTAAAACAGAAAAAGGTTTAGTAAACTAAGGTATTAATAAATTTATCACATAAATTCAAATATTAATAAAACAAAAACCACACCAGAAAGAAAAGATACCATTTGTATGAAATTGATAATCAGTTTAGAAGACAGTCTGCACAAAACATAGTTGGTGAAAATCCACTACAGAGTGGATTTCGAGGTGTTGTGCTTTGAAAGTACAGATATAATTTAGAGAATTACAAAAGATTGTGAGTAAAAACCAGGTATTAACAATGATCAGTTAGTATTAGGTAAGTGTTTTATAAATAAGCGAAAACATGATAAGTGAAATACAAAAGGTGAATACTGTTCAGTAAGAGAATGTAAAATATTAGAGAACAAAGGACCAGGATACATATGTAAGATATTGAACTACTCATGTCATATTCTGATACTCAGTATTTGGTTAACATAGGAGTAAGAACTTCTGTGTATTAC